ATTAGCCTGCTCACATCTTTTTCCAAATGGATGATTGTGACCAAACAGGAGCTTGTCACATTGGATCACTGCCCAAGATCACAGAAGGCAGTATTAAAACATTGAACAGAGTTATTTTCAGCACAATCCATGAATTATTTCTGCAGCTGTCCGACTTCTTTTTTTTTTTTTTCTCCTTCTTCTTGTTCTCAGACAACACATTTGCTGTCACCTGCTTGAGCTAAACACAATCTTTTCCTGTCAGACTGGTCTCAGCTTCTACTGAGAGACATGTGTGAAGAAGGGAAGAGGGGAACAAATCGGTTGAAGGACTTGATGTACCAGCCATAATGGCTCCAGCATTGTGCAGTCTTGTCCTGCACCATCAACACCTTCAATGGTGCAAAGTTAATGTGAAGAGACATTTGGCAGATGGTTGCTTTCTCTTCATGAAAAGATGTGAATAGGGATATTTTGCCTCTTTCCTTTCTCTTGTGATCTCTCCACAAGACATCAGAGACATAAGAGGAAGAGCAGAGAACACAAGAGACTGAAACACTTGATGTCAAAGTCTCTAAACTTGCATCGCTCTGTCCCTCCACCCCTGCTGTGGTCCGTGAAGTGGATTATGTTGTTTTTGGTTGTTCCTGTTAGAGAGTAGTTTCTGAAGGAGCTATGAAAGAAGTGTTTTTAGCTCAATATTGCACAACAAAACGAAGAGACGACGGCCAAAATGTGTGACTTGTGCGGCTCTTTTTATAGCAATCATTGGGTTTCTCTCTTGACCTGACTGTGCAAAGTGCCCTGAAATCACTTACAACAATAAGCCACAACATTAAAAACCACATATTGATATTGTGTAGGTCCTGCTTATGCAGGTAAAAACAGCTCTGAAACATCGAGCAATGGATACAGGACTTTCAGGGGGTGTCCTGTGGTGTTTGGTATGGGGATGTTGGCAGCATGGTCTCAATTGATCAGGCTCGTTCCGGTGCATCCCGCAAATGCTCGATCAGATTGGGATCTGGGGAATCTGGAGGTTGGCTCAATTTACCTGGACTCATTATTATGTTGCTTGAGCCATTTCTGAACAGTTTATGCATTATGACAGGGTGCATTATCTGTTAAGGAGTGCTGTTGCCGTGGAGCTGTGTGCTTGGTCTGCAACAATGTTTAGGTGGGCAGTGTGTGTCTAAGCAACATCAAATGCCAATACCTAAGGTTTCCCATCAGAAAATTGTATTGTAATGAGATGATTAAAGTGTTTTAGTTCACCTTTGAGTGGTTTTAATATTATGGCTGATTGAAGTATGTTGTGAATTGTATATGAATAAAATTCAGTTTAATTCGGACTTCTACAGCCACGAACCATTGTACCTAAGCACACCCATCAAGCTTCCAAACACTGCAGCTGACAGACTAGTGCACCATCTTCTGCTGTTTCTTTATTATATTACTTATGTATTGTTTCTATATTACATGCTTGTTAAATGTTTAACAAGTTACATTTGAATACATTATAAATCCTAAAACCATCAGACTGCATTAAAAAATCATTTGTTTTTCCTGTTGCTAATTAGAAAAAAACTGATAATCCATATAAACCAATCAATTTTACGCTCACTTTAATGTCTCATTATAACCTCACCATATTGAGAGAAACTTCATTACGGTTATTAAGGATTACTCTCCCTTTCTTTGCCACTGGGACTCACAAAGAAATGTTGCATTTTGTTGTTCTTTTAGCTTTGGTTTACACTCCACCGACTCCTGAGGAAAACTTCTGTCATCCAGCTAGTTCAGCAGCTAAATACTCCACTGTGTTCACGAAATAGTTGATAACTGTCTGTTGTTCAGGGCTGGGCAGGTAACATACAGTGGGATAATCACAGATTTTTCACTGAAAACAACTGCCTGCTAGCAGGAAATGAGCTTGATTAGAGCGGTGATAATCGCGTTAATTAGTGTAGCTTTTGTTTTGTTTTGAATTGTGGGAAAAAGACAAAAAATGTGGAGGTGACTAAGTCAAACTGGAAGGCTAATCAACCAGTCAGACAGCTGTCACTGGTGTTGATTTTGATTTGGTTGATGATTGCCAAACTTCAAATTTTGCAGGTGGTATACACGACCTAATGGCGTCTAATGGCTAGCTGTCTGATGGGTGTGTTGGGGCCCAACATCCACAACAACCACATTCCTAGAAATCTGCTGTAAATAGTTCCAAATGTTTGCTTCCTACTGCTCATGTTAATCTCCACCATCAGGGCCTTTCTGCTTGTTGAGTTATATGTGAACAGCATGCAAATGCACAGTCAAGTCTGTTACTGGGACAAGGACTTGAGTTTCTGAAGTTAAAATCTCTTAGTCATAGCTGCTGATATGTAGGTTAGCATTGTAGTGCTGCTGTGAAAAAGTGGGCAGTACCCCAGAGGAGCTCCTGGCTTTATTGGATCCCAGCTCTCCCTGCCTGCATGAGGCTGCCTGACTAATGACTGTTATCAGTACAGATCTACTCTAATTAGGCCTGACAGGGAGCGATGGGAGCTGCTACACCGTGTAATGTGAGAAAAAGTGCAGATGAGGTCAAAGAAAACAGACACACCTTGGCCTGCAACACGGGAGCCTTGATTTTCCCACACACACCAGGACTTTATCAGGATTAATGCTGAGAGCTGTTGAACCAGTGAACTTTACTGAAGCAAATGTAGTTCCCCTGATTCCCCCATATTGGTGAGGAATTAATCATCTTAAGAAATGTGTAAGAAATCTGTGGCTCATTTGAGTCATTTAATACAGTCAGTCTCCACTTTAACCCTTCTTGTTGATGATCTGGCACTATCAGCCAGTTAAAGGGCTGTTCACTTCGTCTCAGTGTCAGACAGGAATAGGCCCCAGGGCTCATTGATTAATTGATCGCTTCGTTAAGGGAGATTGGCAGGCCTTAAAACACAGGTTACAGACCAACCAGTTCCATTAGCGCCTCTTAGTTGAGCTCGTATTTACAGCAGCATCTCTTTGGGTTTGGGACAGTCGTATGAACTTGCTGAACTGGACTGGGTGTCATTTTACAGTTATTGACATGGTACCAGTAGTGATATTGAGAAGGCTCAATTTTAGGAGAAACCTTCATATTATATCAATAAATTAGGTTCTTCAACTTTGAATGTTTGCTTTCTCTCTTTAAATCAAGATGCTTGTGAAAAATGTTGTCATTAGCCTCTATTGTTATTTCAGTGCGTAAGTAACATATTTAATTGGTATTTAGGTGAATGTAAACATCAGATCTGGTCGATCAAATTGCAAGATACTGAAGATTAAAGGATTCACACTGGGATCTCAGCCAAAGAAATCAATCAGAACATCACCTATATTCTGAAATTATGAAGATCCAATACATGTTATATCAAAACGAACCCCATTTTGCTGTTACTCAGATTATTGCTCCCTGATTTCTTTCAAACTGAGTCTATAAAACAGTTTTGTGTTTTTTTTTTTTTGTACAAATGTGTAGTTTAGGGCTGCAAGGTGGAGTGGTGGTTAGCACCGTTGCCTTGCAGCAAGAACGTTGCCGGTTCGTGTCCCGGTGAGGACACCCGGGATCTTTCTATGTGGAGTTTGCATGTTCTCCCCGTGCAGCGTGGGTTCTCTCTGGGTTCTCTGGCTTCCTCCCACAAGGTCCAAATGTTGAGGTTAATTGGTGATTCTAAATTGTCCGTAGGTGTGAATGTGAGTGTGCTTGGTTGTCTTTCTCTAAGTGTAGCCCTGTGATAGACTGGCGATCTGTCCAGGGTGTCCCCTGCCTTTCCTCAGCTGAGGATTAAGTGGTGTATAGATAATGGATGGATGGATGGATGGATGGATGGATGGATGGATGGATGGATGGATGGATGGATGGATGTGTAGTTTCGTCCACATCTGGAGTTGGGTTGGGTGATATGATAAAATTTCCCAACTCGTTACCATAAGTTCACAACTGGCAAACAAAAAAAGGAGAGAGTCAGATGATATCAGATCAGTGTTTTCCATAACCGGATTTATCAACACTGACTTCCACATAATGATTTTCTAATTTTGCCCGATTTAAACTGTATAAAATTCTATTTAGAATTCCACATTTTGTAACTGGTAGGGAGGCCTCTTGTTTTAGGTTAAGTGACTTTATTCTTGCCTGGCTTGTTTTCTTGTCTCTACCAACTTTTGCGTGACAAAGACAGGCACAGAGGCACTGTAATAGCACTGCAATAACTACCTTTATTTCTGGGTCAGCCAACCCATTAGACAACATTTGGACACCTGGTATAGTGAAACTTGGGCGTATCTACATGATTTATGGCTAATGACAACAACTTAATCACCTTTGTCACCATGCACGTCGAACTCAATCAACTTTTATCGGTATTGCTACTAGTGCATGCTTTGAATTACACTTTATGGGTGAATTATTTACCAAGTTGACTTCTCGAGAAAGCAGATCATTAAATGAGCCTACCTAGATAACAAATATCACCAAAAAAAACCCAGCCTGTGATGGACTGGAGCCTTTCGCAAAAAGTTGATCTATTCATCAGTTGTTTAAAACTGTCTAAAATAGAGGTTGTTTTTTGTGGGAGAGCCATCAATTATTTATATATAATTCAGGTATTAAATGAAAAAGACACTTTAAAAAATAACAAATACAATACCAATGATTTTTGGTACCATAAAGGAACCAAGACTTGGTAAAGTAGACAAGGTACCTTTTGGAAATAAAAGGGAGAGGAAAGAAAGTAAGAAAAAGAGAGAGCAACAACAACCAAGAAAGACTTTGACTCCAACATATTGTTTTAGAAAGATTTTATTTGAGTTTCCTTGTGGTAGTTTCTGTCAGTAGTATGTGCAGTTCAGTGGTTTTGGAAGAAGCTTTTTCATCCATTTGCAGCAATCAGCATTCAGTGTATATTGCTGGAGATGAGTTTCGTGGTCACAAATTTTCTCGAATTAGTTCAGTAACTAATTGCTGCACCATCTCCATGATTCGTCGTCTAGTAGCAGGAATCCATGATGCGCCTCATGCTCATGACCCTCATGCCGCTCATGTTGCTCATGCCCATGCCCATGCCCATGCTCATCAGGTTCCTGTACTCTCCGGGCCTCATGTACATCATCCTTCCTCTGAAGTGGGGCTGCTCGTACATCAGCCACTGGCCCTCCATCACGTTGCAGGACATGCAGCTGGACATGCCGTAGCGGTCCATGACGTTCTCGCAGTCCTCCATCAGCTCGTACATCTGGCCCTGGAAGTTCTCCCTCTCGTAGATCCTCATCCTGTAGGAGCCCCTGTGCATGGGGATCATGCGGCAGGACCTGATGCAGTCGCTCATGCCCATCATGCTCATGTAGTCGGCATACTCGCCCCTCCTCATGAAGTACTGGTTGCCCATGAAGTTGCTGCGGTCGTAGACCATGAAGCAGCCCCTCTCCACCCTGCAGGAGTGGCAGCGGCTCAGGTAGGAGGACATGTCGGCGCAGTCGCTCATGCACTCGTAGGAGCGACCCTGGAAGTTCCTCTCCTCGTAGAAGACGATCTTGCTCATCATGTTCATGCCGCTGGAGCTCATCTTTGCCAGGTGTTGTCACTCGAGGTGATGTTGCTGTTGCTGTTGCTGCTGCTGCTGCTGCTCTTGGAGCTGAACTGCTTGTCTACCTGCTGGAGACCTTCCTTTTTATACCTGACAAGCAGGGGGCCCCTTTGTGAAAACTGCCTGACCCAGCAACAAACCATGGAATCCCATAGAGCACTGAGAGTTGTCTCCATTTACGGCTTTTCCCTCAAAGGACCTTAGAGAGGCGATTTCACTTCACATGCGGTCAGACAAAACCTTTTTGAAAGGGTTAACAGAAAACAATAGTACCTTTGTGACACCTGCAAAGCCTCACGCTGTCACTATAGTGCACAAAACCATCCTTAGCTTTGGAATTTTGCTTTTTGTCCTCTTATTCTTAGCAGTTTGCTAGATCATTATTATTGTCAGCAAAGGTTCAATACACATTATGTAGCCATTTCTTAACTGGCTCAACATCTAACATTTAAAATCTTTTTTATTGAATATTCCACTATGGTCACTCTTAAAATCTCTCCGCTTGTGTAATTCGGTTATGACGGTGACTGATGCTATAAAGGACTAATGGTTTGTTGGGCCTTCCCATTAATTAAGTGGCCGCAGCAGGTCAGCAGTAGGGTTGAAGATTTTCCTTTCATTTTAAAATAATTGCTTCCCAGGAATATGTCACTTTCCTTTCCTGTGATTTTTCACCATAAATGAGGCTTGATTTTAAAAACAGAACTGTGTGGTATTAATCTTTAAAAGATCTTCTAATGTACTGAGGTTTTTTTTTTTTTTCCTTTTCTTTTTTCTGTAGAATAGAACAGCAATATCAATAAATCCTCTTTAAGAACACTTACTGTCTTTGAAGTCTGGGAAAAAGTAGTAATGAGCAACCACATAGAATCATGGGATCCCATGCATCCCAGCATATAGAGTTTTATGTCCAATGGATTGTGTATTATATACACAAGTGTTTTTCCAGGTAAATGAATCATTTTTTTTCTGGAATTGCTTTGGAAATAGTGCGATCTCACTTCCCGCTTCATTCCTTGTTCGCACCACATCTGCATTAAAGTTGCAGCAGTCTGTGCTGGCACTTGTTGGAAACAAATTTACTTTAGCTCTGCAGATAAAATGTAATTTCAGTCTTTCATTAGAAAACATTGTAATACTACAGTTTTTCTTAGTGTAAGCGGCCATAACAACATGACTTTCCAACTTTTCACCTGTATGTACTGCACCTCCACTGCTGAAAAGATTTGTACAGCTCTATTCAGAACAGATCACCAGAACTACAAGGTCTCCTGCTGCAGTGTGGAGCTCTGCTTTTGCGCAATCTGCCTTTTCATTTAAGGCTACTAAAGAGTGGAACAAGCTGCTAAATAGTCAGAGAACTTTTCAGTTGATAATGTCAATGAGACACGTGGAGCATCTTTATCCCCATATCACCCTGATTATTATCTTATTTTCATAATGTTTATATATTGATGGGACAGTCTTTGTGTTGAATGAGGAAGTATGTACGTTGTTCTGTATATGTGGGTTTCATGGTGTGTACGTGCTGTGGGGTGAGACTGGGGATGTGGGATTGTGAGGCTGCGTCTGTAGATTTGATCATATAATACATTTAAACTTGTATGCTATATTTAATATTGTGCATACCTGCCCAGGGACTGCAGATGGAAATGAGCTCATAGCTAAATCCGGTACAACGCATGTCTTCTCCTGAGAGATTAATGTTTCTGTGCACAGTTCCTGAAAATGGAACAAAAAAGTAAGTATCTTATACGGTTTAACGAACACCAAAAATTGAAATAATGCAGACCTCACAGCAAGGCTCCCACAGTAATTTTAGTATGTGAAGAAAAAAGGCGAAAAACTGCTGAGATATCAGATTGTGGAAAGTTTCTAACAGGTTTAAGTGGTTCAGTTATTTGTAGAAGGTGTGACAATGGATGAATTTAAAGGGGGGGAGGTCACTGAGTCTGTTTATTTGTGTGCTGCGCTGCTGCAGAGTTTTGAAACCATTTATAACCTAATATATGATCAGTGTGATATAGGCACAAATGAAATTCATGCGTTTACGAAGCCGGTGCAGACAAATGTATTGTATAATCATAAAGCATGTCTGCTCCGTGACACAAAAGGCTTATAAAAACTTGAGTTTTGTGGTAAAATTCCCCTCTGTCAGGTCAACAAAAGTAGCTGGCAACTCCAAGAGTGTGAGAAGACCTCATTAAATAACTATTTGACATTTGTAATTACACGAATAACTAAAACTACATTTGTGGAACAGAGTCTCTCAACAGTATGTGATATGACTTGCTTCATTTGAAACTCATTTAAAATCAATCATTGTTCATTCAGTGTTTATGTTTGTTGCAATCTTAAACCAACATCAGTTCCCTTGAGGTCTGGGAAATAGAGCTCTGTGAATGAGTTGAGGGGTCATGGCTGGCTCAAGAATTTCTGTACAATGGGACAGAAAGGAGTGAACACGATGGAAGTTGCTAGAATAGATTAAAAATGTAGTTTCCTCATCAAAACTGTAGTTTATGGGTGCTCCCAAAACACTGTTTCACTCTGAGTGTGATCCAAAATACACTTCTATAAAATATAGTACACCAAAAAAGCTTTCTATGTACCAGTAAATAGCTTGTCAGATGCACTTTGTGATAAGTACCAGGATGTTCTACTACATCGAGTCACATTCTGTTGTATGCAAGCCAGCATGCTTTTGTGGTCATTTTGACCCACAATTCTCTGCACAGTGGAAGATACATGTTGTATATATCATGGTGTGTCACATGAGTATAAACAAACTTGAGTTGCAAAGACAAGAGACTTGTCACTAGAATTTGGCAGTGACTTTACTGGAGTGTAACATGGGAAAATCTGCAACATCCATTGTCTATACACCGCTTAATCCTCATTAGGGTCGCGGGGGGGCTGGAGCTTATCCCAGCCGACTTAGGGCGAAGGCAGGGGACACCCTGGACAGGTCGCCAGTCCATCGCAGGGCAAATCTGCAGCAAAAATATTGAAAATAGACTAAATGAAACTACATTAAAATATTAAATTTAATATTGAGTACCTACTCCATGTGCTGCCAAAACGGGTCAAGACATTGACCCCATATGACCTCTGATGGTGTCCAGTGGCTTTAGGCACCAAGATGTTTGTAAAAGATTGTTAAAACCTTGATTAGGGAGTTTGGAGCCAAGTCAACACCTCAACTCTTTGGAATATTCTTCAAACTATTCCTTTAACTGCTGAATAAGGCTACCAAGCCATCAAGGAATATAGTTGTCTACAACAATGTTTAGGTTGGTGGCACGGTTTAAAATAGCCACCACATGAATGCCAGGAGCCAACATTAGTCAGAGCATCACGCAGTCTTCTCTAGTTTGTCTTCTTCCAATAGTGCATCCTGCTGCCATTTCTTCTTTGAGGAAATGATGTAACGCCTACCAGGCCGAAAGAGAACATGATTAATCAGACCGGGCCACCTTTGGCTGTTGCTTCATGATCCAGTTTTGACATTTACGTGGTCTTTGCCGGTGCTTTTGGTGGTCAGTTTTGCCTGGGAGCAGCCAACAAGACTGGTCATTTTGGAGATACTCTGACCCAATTGTGTAGCCATCATAATTTGGCCCTCAGGTCCTTCGTCTTTCCATTTTTCCTGCTTCCAACGCATCTACTTTAAGAACTGACTGTTTACTTGCTCCCTAATATATTCCACCCCCTTAACAGATGAGACTGTAACAAGATAATCAATGTTTTTCATCTCGCCTGTCGTCGACTGGTGTATGCACCGTATCTGTGCCATGCAGCCACCTTTGCTGCAGTTTGACATGAAAACTTAAAAATTCTCATTCTACAATTTTGTATCAATAATGAATTGAATTCTTAAAAAGCGCTATTATATAAATGAGTTGCAGCATAAGAGGAAAATACTACAGTGTTGGAATGGAATGTTTAAAGGTGTGTATGATTGGCTCTCTGTACATGACGTGTCAGTTGTTGTAGACATTTTTATTTCTTATGAATTTACTGCATTTAAACTATCACTTTAGCAGAAAGGATTATAAGATGTTGTGGCCTAAAGGAGTCTGAAAGATCTGACATTTGACAGACTGAGCCTCAAAAGTGATTATAGTAAAATCTTAAAACCACCACAAAGTATGAAGTAGCTAGAATAAAGACAATAAACATAACTACCAATGTACAAAGTTGAAAATGCCTGGCATTAACACAGAAGAAGTTGTGGGTGACTGAAACAGACAGCAGTTTCATGTAAACTGTGACCATATCACTTTCACTTCTTGTTGGTTCCAGTATTGCTTCACTCAGCATACCACTCTGTTTTATTTCTCTGTAGCTTCGCGGTTTGGATGTTTTCTTTCCTCAGCCATGACAGCGAAGATGAAAGCGTTTACACCCTCGGTCATGCAGGACTTGGCTCCAAATGAGGCTGATTGTGTTTTTTTTAAAAATGTTTTAGTGGAGATAAAGACTCCCTGAAGCCCCTATAAGCTCAGCGGCTCAGCTGTATGGAGAAAGACGGGGATGTTGCAATCAGCTGACTGAACCATAACGCTGGTTGTTATCACACTGCCAGCATCAGTTTGCAGTGGGGCCAATCCATTAAACTCAACATGGTAGTTAAACTGAGTTATGGCATCTGCGGCTGCTGTTTCAGGTTGAGCAAACGGCGAATGTCAGCACAAAGCACTCGTATTCTCCTGCGGTGTTTGTCCACAGAAAGTCGAGGGTGTGGAGGTGGAGGAGATTGAACTTGGAGCGGCCGAGGAATTCCTGTGTTTTTGCTTTGGGGAATGTGCCTGGACTCCTAATGCCAACGGTGCGGAGTGAATGGATGTAGAATTAGAATAGAGAAGGGAACAGAATACCTCGATTATTTACTTCAAAATCCCTTCAAACCTTGTTAACATTTGAATAAGGTGAAATTTGCATCTAATAAGACACAGAAAAGGGGAAACAACAATAAA